TTTTTTTTTCTGCCACTAAAATTAGAATTAGACATGTTTTTTTCTTGGTAGGTTGATAAATTCCAAGTTCTAACAAATTCATTTCACTTCAGCATTTGCTCCATGAGGACCATAACAATGTACACAACAACATATCAAGCTTTGATTTTCCAAAAAACCTGATGTAGCTGAATAAAAATCATGAAATGTAGTTGCGACGTCTCAAACATCGCGTGGGCCCCACGAGCGTTTTTCAACACTGTGTAAGAATCTCGGCACCGTCCTTTGTGATCAAGATGGTGTGTTCGAATTGAACCGAAAGGCTCCCGTCCCGAGTTACCACTGTCCAATTGTCTTCCCACATAACAGCCTTTATGCTGCCCATTGTCAGCATTGGTTCTGAAAAAAAAAAAAAAAAAGATAAAAAAAAAAAGATAAAACGCTCGTGATAAAAGGAAATGGTGGACAATGATTCAGCTGATCTTCTGGTAGTACTTGCATAATGACCCGGTGGATTTTGTGGCAAATAGCAGTTACAGAGAATTGAATATCAAAAAAGCAATGGATAGTTTATGGATACTAACCAATGGTGAAAGTTTGGTTCAACAACATCCGCCCACGAACATTATTCCCTAGCAAACCCGAAAAATGGTTAGACAGTGATATGCAGTATCATAACTACTACTAAAAGGGTTCGATTTGGAGCTCAGAAAGTAAATTAAGAAGTTGAAATTAGAAGAGGAATTTAAATAGACAGGAGAATTACTGTAATGAAGAATCACGGGATCACTGTGGAACATTTTTCCGACTCCATGGCCAACAAACTGCTCCACGACTCCATATTTGTGCTTATCAGCAAGGTCCCTTTAAGGAAAATCAATGCAAAGAGTAAAAATTCCAAATGTTCTACTCTAGGATCATAACACAATACAAAAAGAACATGTGGACTGATATTTCTGCCCCTAAATAATTCAGATCAGCAAAGGTGATTTAAACAACCAAAGCAAAGTAGAATGAACTGTATGGTAAGTAGCGTAGGAGTACACAATCTGGTGCCTGAATTTAATTAATATTAAGGTTAATTAAAAATTTCAAACTTGCCGCCAAGGTTAACTTTCCACTTTCCCTCCTAAGACAGAAAAGCTGAGCAACCTCCAAATATACAAATACCCTATTAACATTCCTATTAACAAGTTGTTAATTAAGAAATTTTCAGTAATTAGCTCTGTGAGGGATTAATATACTCATGGAATAGAATAGCAAGCAATATATTGTATTACAACGAACAGGAAGTGACTGCTTAAAGGCGCCACGTATGAAGAATCGGGAAATAAAATTGGCAGGTGTCTCACTGTATTTCCTTCCCGATTCGTTTATATTCAACTCCAGGTGCACAAATAGATATTGCCTTGTCCAGACATTCTTTAGTTACCTAAAAGGACAAGACATAATTGTGAGAGAGAGTATACCCAGTGTTCAAACATCAGGTACTGTTAAAATTTTAATTCATCGAAAAAATTATCTGATTCCATGAATAGGAAAGGCTTTTGAGTTTTATAAAGACTGGAGACAATCAATTGAAATATAAAAGAATAATCAAACAAGATAATTGGCCAACTAAACAATACCTTTACTAAGTTTTTGGCCTCTTCATCAACCTCTCCAACAAAATAAGTGGCTGATGTATCACCATGATAACCCTGCATTTGATTTGGTTGAGTGCGTAAATGCATAAATAAACCACCTTGAAAATACAAAAAAAAAAAAAAAAAAAAAAAAAAAAAAAAACACGGCATATCAGTTGTTCACAAGAAATTATCAGGACACTATTCAAATCCTTATGCAAGCAGTTAATCTGATATGACAATCGGCAGAATGACGAAATTTTGACTTTCAAGAAATAATTCCATATGTCCAAGAATCAGACTGTAATGTCCAAGAATCAGACTGTAATGTCCACTCATCACTCATGACATTTAAGAAATAGTCAAACAACCTGAGACTAATAACGGACCTATATTCATCAGGGTCGTAGTAAAATTTTGTTTTTAAGTTTTCAATGACGCACTCTGTGGCCTTATGTGGATGTATAACAGCAAGATACATGATTCATATAGTACAGTATCGGTTCAATAATCATTACTATTTACTGAGATGTACAATATTAGGGTCGGAGCTTCTCCCTATAGTAAGCTGTGTGAGAATTTAAGTGCTCGAGTTTCTCTTTGTATATTATATGGATAATCCGATCCACAAGGACCGTGACAGGGATTTGTTTGATCGTCTTTCTCTTAGGAAGAGGCTAAATTTATTTCATCCAGCATTAACTTATTTCCATCTGACAACAAGAAATGATTATCAACTTCAACTCAAAAGCAATATTTAAAATGTAAACAAAGTCGTAATTATTTCTTTCAAGCTAACTTTCCTCTCCATTTATAACTAGAAACAAAACTATAACATTGAATGTCACCACAAAAGCAGATATTTGGAGTACAAGATGATTTACTTACGTTAAGATAAACTGTAACGTCAATATTTATAATGTCGCCATCCTGCAATGCAAACAAAAACACAGTGATTTTTAAGATTATGGAATACCTAGGATCTTAAAGGGGTCAATTATGGTTCAGTATAACAAACCTCTAGGACACGTGAATCCGGGATTCCATGGCAAATGCATTCGTTCACCGATGTGCAAACGCTCTTTGGAAAGCCACCATAACCGAGAGGAGATGGATATGCGCCATTGTCGATAATCATTTGATGAACTGCTTGATCAATTTCATCGGTTGTGATACCTGGCTGCCATAAACCATAATTAAGTTGTTAATGAATAGCTTGCTGAAAAACTTAAATAATTGTGTCCGTGAATAAACTAATACTTGACATAGTAATAATAACAAAATACTGAAAGTTGACAACGACGAATGCACCAAATTACATTGGGGTACATCTGGTTCTTCTGAGAGCAGTTGATTTACTCTCGGCAGTAACAGCTTGTGAAGGCCGATGAAAACTCATTTAAATAGATAAAAATGAGCAGAAGGATCTTGAAGTCACCTTCACCAGAGTCCCAGCATGCTGAAGAACTTGGGCAGCAAGCTTTCCTGATGCTCTCATGCACTCTATCCCCTTCTCGTCGTGTATTTCAGGCTTACTCCCGATTCCAGGTGGTATCTCAGAATCAACATACGGAGGTCTTTGTATGTGACTGGGAACTGGCCGACGGGGAGATACTTTCCCGGGCTTTAAACGCTTACGTTTGCCATCTGCAGATTCTTCTGTATTTCTGCCAGGAGATAAAAGAAAAAAAACATATGTAACATGTAGGAGCAGGATTTTTAACCCAGGTCAGAGGTGTTCCACCTAAATAGTTTGGAAATCTTGTTTAACGATATCATGTCATTAATGAAGGAGCTGATTTCACTATGTCTGTCTATTTAACTGACATTTTTCAAGTTAGCCAATGAACCCAATATGAAACCTCATAGCATATGATCTGAAACTGCTGATGAAGTATACAATGAGAAAAGTATGAATTTTCTGGAGTAACAAAATAATCATAGCAGGCTTCGTCTCCTTCTCTATTGGGGTTATAATTCAGCGAGGAACATATTTTCGGTTTGTGGCATGACATGTAGAGGTTTCTTATTCATTCCTTTCTAAATTATATTTTCCAATGCCATGTTCAGAAAGCATATATCTAGGTAGCAAATATGTACATCTCTTTATGCAATTTTTATATAAAGGTATCAAGTCAACATATAGAAACTCCAAACTACATGGAATGGGAAACATGCCTTTTGTTAAATAATAAATCGGCCAATCCGGAAAATGTCCTTGACATTTGCATAGACACATGGCCTTTTCCTGTTAAAAAAACCGAGAAATCAAATACCAAATAATCAGCTTCCGAACATAGTAACCCCTACAATTGAAGCCAAATTTTCACATACAAATTATTGAAATTATCGATTTTCAAACAAGAAAGCCATTTTATGATCTCAAATCTCACACAGTGCACATACACAACTATAGAATGTATATCTTCGAGACTTTAAATGGACGCAACTCATGATACGCATGCTTTGCTAAATGCTATTCATTTTCTTGAGCAACAATCGATCATAATATATCAGCATATAAACACATTTACGCATCACCACGGCAGTTCAAAGTTCTAAAATTCAGCTACAAAAAAACCAAGCAGCATCTGGGCATTACATACACAAGTACAACGATTAGGTCATCAATAACATCAACAGATATCTCAATTCGATTGGAAAACGACTGCGGTGACTTGAGGTTAAACTGAAATTAAAAAACCAAAGCATACATATAGAGCAAAATGAAATAAACAAGACAAATTATATACAGACGAAAATTCGAAATCAAGCTGTTACGAGGTGAAATTAACCGACAGCGCGTGTTGAGAAACCTGGGTTGAACTTGTAGATGTGCTGAAGTGAACGAGTAGATTTCGATTGGATCAATCGGCCGTCGGTAAGGAAAGTGGAGATTAAGCGCGGCTGAATCGAACTTCCGGCCACCATCCCTTCAGTATCTTCTCCTTTTCTCTCTCTAGTGGTATCAGTGGTGCGAGGAATGGTATACCTTATTCCTTATTTGATGATTGCTATATTTTACCCTTTTCTTTTTTAACAATATATAAAATTTTTAAAATTTTCCTCGAAAATCAGCTTTTTTTAGGCTAAACTACTTTTGTGTCCGAATTATATGGTAATTTGACAAACACGTATAGTTCAGGTGATGTTTGAAAAAATAAAAGTTTATATAGTGACGTGCGAAAATCGTAATAGTTACCACTTTTGTATCCGGTTTATAGGATAATTTGACAAACATGTGTTCAGGTGATATTTGTAAAAAATAAAAGTTTATATAGTTACGCGCCAAAAGCATAATAGTTCGAATGAGAAAAAATTTATTACTTTTTTTTTTAAAGGAAAGGAATGCCATTCCAATGGAATTGCACCACCCAAATGGGCCATATCGATGGGATTAGTTCATAGCAAAGTTTTTCCATTCTCATATTGTTTAGATTATTTTTTTAAAATGTAAAATTAACAAATAATAAAAAAAATAATATATATTATAAATCATGATTAAATTTTATTAAATAAAATTATTTTAAAATATAAGTTTCAAAAAAATTATTTTTATTTATTGTTTATATTTTAACTAGACAACAAGCCGTTATAATTCCACTAAGTGGAGTCAGGTATATAGATCACATGTTGCCATCGCGCTCCACCAAAACACATATCCTCATTCAAATTTGAATATTTTAATTATTTTTTTAATTTTCTTTCAATTTTTCTTAGGTCTGCTCCTATCCTTTTTAATTTGTGATATTAATTTAATTCTAATTCTAGTGTTTCTATCATTCTTACTCAGGTCTCGGAGTCTCCTAGGCACATGTCCAAACAATCTTAAATAAAAATAAAACTAAAAAAACACATTTATAAATAATTTAAAAGGATATTATACATATATTATTTATTTATTCATAAATGAATTATAATATAAAAAATTATATTCGACCACATATGCTTAATATGTATATAAATACACAATTAACTGATTTATTATACAATATATATGAATATAACAATACAAAAATACATTTTTAAACTATGTATACTTTTTAAGAAATAAAATAATTTTATTGTTATCATAAATAAAAAATAACATTAATATAAATATTATTTTTTCTATAAAATAGTGATAAATGATAATATAGAATGATAATGTCATTCCATGCGAGTCTTATTCTTCCTGCATACCAAAACATCAATGAAAAGACTTGTTTGATTCATTTCTCATATTCATTCCATTTTTCAACTCACTTCATTTCTATCAAATCTCATTCTATTATAAATCATGTCATAGGTCTCTTATCCGTAGTCAGGTTGATGTCAGCTTGTTCTTTCTTTACATCAGAAAATTGAACGATGAATAAAACGTATTCAATTAGGATTTCTAAAGACTTTAAATATTTTGGTGTCTTTAATTTTGTTTTTTAAGATTTGTTAAAAGTCTTGGATATTCAACTGAGTTTTTCAAAAGTCTTACAAATCTCGAGCTATTTACCTTATTTGAGATTATGATTTGTTAATACTTGTTAAGGTTTGGTGAGATTTCTAAATAATAAATCTTATATGAAATCTTACTTCAAATCCTACCTCCAAACTTAAAAATATGAAAATCTTAGAAAGTCCCAAATTTTAAAAAGTCCCAAAATATCACTTGAAATCTCAATTAAATACTGAGGTGTCCATTTTGAGATTTCTAATGATTGAATATGAGTTATGATTCATCTCAATTGGTTATAACCGATTTTCATATCCAATCATCTCAATCAGGTGGTCTACTCCGAAACGACATGAGAAGATTGATATAAGGCTTCCTCTTGAGTATTGGCTTTTGCACCATTACGGCTGCGGAACTCTGGGGTCTTTTTCAGGGGTTGCAGTTGGCTTGAAACATGGAATACGACAAGTTATTGTCGAGGTTAATAGCCAATGCGTGACGAAAATTGTACTTGGTTATGAGGAATCCCTTGGAGCTCATAAAGCACTGGTAAAGGCCATTCGGAGTATGCTCCGAAGAGAGTAGAATATTAGGGTCCAACAAGTGCACATGGAAGCAAATTTTGCTGCTGGCCATATGGCGATATTGTCGAAGTCCTGCCCAATTGATTTGCAGCGAGTATCCTCTCATCCTTCAGGTATGGGACCGTGACTCGAGCACGACATTATTGGGGTGTCGTATACTCGTCGAGTTCTAACCTAGTTACCATACCAGGCCTTCGACCTCCTTCACTATACCAAAAAAGAAAAAAAAGTCAGTAAGTTAGATGATTATGGACAAACTAAAGTCGTGTTTGCAAACAATGAAATAAAGTAAATAAATACCAATTTGAGCCAGTGATTAAATATAAAGTACATTACCCCCAAATAGATACAATTTTGAAAGTATTACATTACTTCCATCAAACTCTTACCTAACGGGCTATGGCCCTAAATTAAATGGCCCTGCATGTTATGTCTCCTCCTCCGTATCTCAAATTCTATTTGTATATATTTATTTTACTTTTTTTTTTTTTCAAAACAACATAATTTGTATATACCCAAAAATATTTTGTATAAAATGAATTTCGCATTCACCAATTCATGAACTTAATTTTTTAATTAATGTATATACATTGGAAAACCGATTATTGGTTTTAATTTTTTTATTCCTTTGTTTGAAAATGAAAATGACTTTATATGAATGAACCTATTTATTCATATGATTATAAGAAGAAGAAGAAAAAAAATAGTGAAAGAAAATAGGACAAGTTAAATTCAGAATTTGATATGAAGCCACTACAAAATAACAAGCTCTCATAAATAAACCCGTTATGTATGTAACTATGTATAGCTTACTCTGATTTCCTTTTTTCTTTTATATTTTTTTTTCAAAAATAATATATATGTACATATATATTATTTTTGAAAATTGCAGCATGTTGTAATTAAATAAAATGGGAAAGCATGCTAAATTCTTTTCAGAATAAAGAAAAAAAAAAAAAAAACTCACTTTTGCATGATCGCAATTAAATAGTCAGATTAGATGGGCAGTAGACACATGCAACTATACTCCTAATCACCGTTTTTTTTCATTCTCCTATAGTGAATTCACTGAAAGATCTAGAAATTTCACTCAAGAGTAGGATTGTAAATGAGCCGAGTCAAGCTCGAGCTTGAGGTGTTTGAGTTCGAGCTCTTAATGAGCTCGACTCGTTAAGTAAACGAGCCAAAAATCGAGCTCGAGCTCAAACCTTAACGAGCCTAATTATAAAAAATTACATAAATTTTACTTTTCAAGCCTTATCGAGCCCAGCCGAGCTCGGCTCGTTAACCAAACGAGCTTTAAATTAATGAGCTTGAGCTCGGCTCGTTAAGGCTTCGAACTCGAGCCGAACCGAGCCTTAACGAGCCGAGCTCGAGCCGAGCCGAGCCAGACTAGTTTAATTTAACAGCACTACTCAAGAGGACTCGATTTTAAATGTTAAATAACGAGCTTGTAGTTTAAGTCGAAACACTCATTTCATCTAAAAATGTGTTTACTATAAATATAAGTATTGGTCCAAAATAAAAAAATTCATGTATCTATAATTTAAGTTCAACATATTTAATTTATAAAAAAATAAGTCTTTTGGTTGAAAATTTGATTTAAATTAAACTTTTACACTACATTCTATAGCATTTTTGTTGATGAAAACTTATCAAATTAACAATTTTTTTTTTTTAAAATAAAGTTAAATATATGTGATTAAAAAAATGTAAAAAATAAATATTAAAAAATGTAATCCAATTAATAAATATTTGATTTTATAAATCACTAAATAGATTTACAATTAAGAGACTAAAAATAGTAAATCATTATAAATATTTTCAAAAACTTATCTATAAGGATTGTTAGGATATTTTTCCATAACATAATAATATTATTAATTTAAATAAAAATAGTATAGGAAATAAGTTTTAATTAGTAATATATTGTAAATCGAAGCAGGTCGGCGAGCAATGACACGAAATATTTTACATTTCTATACATATTTGTAGATATTTTCTTTATATATTTATTTATTTATTTATTTTCAATAAGTTTTAATTATTAATAATTGGAAATATTTTTTTTTGTATTTCTATACATATTTTGTATTATATATATAATGATATTTTTTAAGAAAATATGAGAGGGGCCCTGGGGCCACCCTTGAGCCTAGAGGTGGCCAAAGTTCGAGCCGGTTCACGGACCGATCCAGCCCGTCGGGTCAGTTTTGTAAGTCTATGCAATTGATTTCAAATTTGTATTCTAGAGGATTAAACAAAATCAAAATTTTTAGGATGTTCCAATTCGATTTCATTTTTAATTCTAAATTAATATTATCAGACTCTATTTTATGTTTAAAAAATCCAAACTAAAGAAAGTAATAGTAAAATGATAATAATTTTTTAAATTTTCAATTTAAAATTGGACCCAATATCTATGCAATCTAAATTTTATATATATATATATATAAACACGATCTGTTGCAATTAGGTAAATATACATGTCATAGTATTTTGCCAAATTAATTCTCGATTTTATGGTAAACAATTTTTTTTTTAATAAAAATTGAGAGAATTTTCACTTTTACAAAATTGTCATGCCGAATTTTACATAATTTAACCCGATTTCTATGCAGTCCGATCTTTTAATAAACAATTAATTTCTTGGAATTAGTAAAAGATATATGTGATATTATTATGCCTAATTCAAAATTCCGAATTTTATGGTAATTAGTTTTTTTAAAATAAAAAAAAAAAAAGAAAAAGAATTTTGGCTTTTGCAAAATTGTAAGCATCAGTCGAAATTTACCTAAATTAAATCGACAAAACACATGAATTTATGCTACATATATAGCTGATTGATTTTTTAGTAATAATTTAAAAAAGTAAATAAATAAAAACTGTCAAAAATAGAATGCAATAAATGTTGGTTG